TAGAAATAAAAATATATGCTTTAAGTGTTTTTCTCCTTTTTATTCTTTTCAAGAAAAGATGACACTATATATTAGGAAAATATATCACTGTAAAAGAGGACTTAACTTTACAACTGCCTTTTTGTAGCATATATCCTAGGTCACAAGTTTTGAATTAATCCACAATCTATTTTTTGCACCAACTATTTCCTGACACATCAAGATGCCCAATATGATAAATTATGCCCTGCACTGATAATAATTACTACTTCAGGGACAGAGACTGCAAGAGGGCAGTAATCAAAAATAATTATGAAAAAAAAATTCATTAAGGGTTGGAGGTAGAGCTCAGTGGTAACAGCTTGCCTTGCATGTGTGAGGCCCTGAGTTCAATCCCTAACACTGTAAGGGAAAAAAAAAAAAAAAAGCTGAAAAAGTAATTTAGCATTTTTTTTTTTTTTAGTTTTTCCTTTTATTTTTATTCCAGTAGATTTTATAATTTAAGGTCTTAAATCTTTTTTAGTTTTTAAATTTTTTAAATTATTTGTCTTTTTTTATGTAACATCTTAAAATTTTTTTCTAATTAGTTTTATATGACAGCAGAATGCATTTCATTTCATTGTACAAAAAGAGAGTACAACTTTTCATTTTTCTGGTTGTACACGATGTAGAGTCACACCATTTGTGCAATCATACAAGTGGCTAGGGTAATTATGTCCACTTCATTCCATCATCTTACCTACCCCCATACTTCCTCCCCTCCCCGCTCTTCTTTGCCAGATCCAAAGTACCTCCATTCTTCCCATTCCCCCTATCCCCATTATGAATCAGCATCCACTTATCAAAGAGAACATTTGGCTTTTGTTTTTTTGGGATTGGTTTACTTCGCTTAGCATGATATTCTCCAACTCCATCCATTTACCTGCAAATGCCATAATTTTATTCTCTTAATTAGTATTCTCTATAATGACCTGATTTTTAAAAAATTTTACAAAAACAAGTTCTAATAGCTCAAATAAAAAAAATTATGAGTTATTAACAAAAAGAAAGTATGTTAAACTAGAAAAATGTTAAAAATTTGTAATTAAAAATATATTAAAATGGGGATATACTGTTTTTACTTTAATATTAATTTTTCTATATGGAAAAATAAACTTCCCACTAAATGTATAAATTTTATCCCTCCCTTAACAAGAAATAAACATTTAAGAAAAAAATCCTCAAGCCAACAGTTATGGGATTGTTGACACCACTCCATAAAGAATTAATTTTGACTGAAAATTATTTTACTTAAAATTGATTTTTATGTCAAAAATAAATACCAAAGGCAACTTTCAGAAATCGTAATTATAAACTTCAACTGAAGGACTTTTCTAAAATCTATACATAGGTTTTATTATATGTAAAGGAACAAAAGAAATCACTAAACACTTTCTTAAAGAGGTATCATGATGGTCAAAGTTATGTACTATTCTCAAGGGTTTTAATAACTACCAACAGCTTCAATTCAATCCTTGCCTCCTCTACCTCTCTAGATTGCTGACATGAAAAGATCTGCTGCCTCCTCTTCTCTCTTCCTGCTTTCTAATAATGCTTTATCACTGTTCACGGAAGCCTCTGTATCCCTGAAACCCTTCTTATCTGCTCCCAGGTAATTTCACTCATCCCAGCACAGCCTTCAAGTACCACTTAATGATGACAGCTCTCAAATCTGTGGTTCCACCTCTTTTCCTTAAGCTTCAAATCTGTATTTCCAGCTGTCAACCAACATGTTCACCAAGACATTCCCCAGTTAACCAGTTTAATTTGTTTAAAACCAAAATCTCTTCTCCTTTTTTCACCATCCCCCCTAAATTAACGATTTCCTTATGTCCCCTATCTCAGTTAATGAAAGCCATAGAAACAACAACATCATTTAAAACTCTTCTCCTTCTTACATCCTCATTAGTCCCTTGGTCCTTAAGTCCTTTGTGAAACCTCTCAAGTACATTCTCTCATTCACATTTCATTTAATAACAGATTCCTCATTGGTCTCCACATGCCAATCTCTCCTATTCTAAATCAACACGTTTCTATTGCCTACAACTTCCAAACTAGAAAGTCAACATATAAAGATTACATAAAGTGTTAAGAGATTCAAAATCATTGTCTTCAGGATAAAGTCCAAGCTCCTTAGTATAAATGTGGAACAAGTTTTAGGATCCATCACAGTTTGGCCCCAGTTTATACTCTTAGCTTTACCTGCTGTCACCTGTCTGTGTAAGTTATATACTAAATCAAGATACACTACAAATATAAAGTTCACTTTCCCTCTCTGCTTCTGCCAATTCCTATCACTTTGTAACTGTTCTTTTCCTACCCAAGTAGTCTCTCTTAATCCTCCACCAAACAACCTATTCTCCCTTCTATGCTCCCCAAGTACTTTGTTTATACCACCATTATAATACAGTCTGAAATGAAGTTCAGAATGCTCTGAAATCTGAAATATTTTGAGCATTAACATGACATTCAAAGAGTTTCAAATTTTGAAGCATTTCAGATTTGGATTTTCAAATTAGGAACACTCAACCAGGAAAGTCTATGTAAAACTCCAAAATATGAAACACTTCTGGTCCCAAGCATTCCAGATAGAGAATATACAACCTATAATATTAGTATTAAAGTCTTCCCCTCTGATAGCATGAAGGCACTCTGAGTCTTTCATCTTAAAAGTCCCATCTTTTGTATGCCTCACATAGTATCTTAATAAATATTTATTTAATTGGATTGAGCATGGTGTCTTAGGGGTGATCTATAAATAAGGGGTTGCTAGAAATGGAAGAATACATGTAAGTCAAGAAGTAGTCAGGTGGGCGGGCTGGGGATGTGGCTCAAGCAGTAACGCGCTCGCCTGGCATGCGTGCGGCCTGGGTTCTATCCTCAGCACCATATACAAAGATGTTGTGTCCGGCGAAAACTAGAAAAATAAATAAAAATTCTCTCTCTCTCTCTTTAAAAAAAAAAAAAGAAGAAGAAGTAGTAGTCAGGTGGGCAAAGACATTTAAGAAAATAAAACACCATGAAAATGTCTTTTCCTTGGCTTTCCAAGTTGAATAAACAACCAAAAGTCAAGGTGACAAAAACTAAGACAATACTTTCTGGAAAGAGAAAAGGTATTTGGAATGTATATAACTGACAAAAGCTAACCTTTCTAACAAATAAGAATATTTAAGAATAAAGTAAAGAATTCCAACCAAAAAAAAAAATTAGGTAAAAGAACAATTAATTCACAGGAAAAAATGTAAAAAGTCAATAAATATTTGAAAAACACCTCAAATTCCTTGAAAATCAGAAAAAAAAAAAACATTAAAATGTAAAAAGTATTATTTTCACCTATCATATTGGCAATGTCTTTCCAATGATAGTATCCAAGAATGTCCAGGGTACGGTAAAATGGTTAGGACCAAAGCATGCTTGGGGAAATATAAGTTAGTACAATATTTCTGAAGGCCAATTGTAGAAATTTATAAAGGAAATGTTTAAAATGTTCATACCCTCTGACCCAATATTTTCACTTCTGAAATTGAGCCTAACAAAAAAGAGACATGCCAAAATTTATGCAAAAGGATATTTGTTTATAGTAACAGCATTCAAAAAGCCAAAAATCTGGAAACATAAAATGTTCACCAACAAAGAGAGTGGTTCAAACAACACATTTTCTCACAAAGTATTTTATACAGCAAATATTTTTGTAAAATATGACACAGAAAGGATCATTAGATGATACTGAGTAAAAAAGAGAAAAAAATCAACAATGTAATAGTATAAATGCACAAAATAAAGAATTGAGAAAAATATGCCAATTTATTATCTGTAAGTTATTCTAGGGCAGTCACTATCAGTCACTAAAAACATGTTAATAATTTTATAAGTAAGAAAACTGTATTATTTCTAAAAGTTATTTGATTTGCTTAGAAATAACTTTGGCAAACTTCAAAAAAGGTTTGTCAGAAAAATCTGGAAGCTAAACTAGGGAGCTCTTTCAAAAAATTAAGTAGTAAGCACAGGGTGAACAGAGAATATTTGTTAGAGAGTTCACGAGCAAAAGCTGAGAGACACTAGAAGTCAGTTAAAAGGACAAAGTCAGATAAACAATTTTTTAAGCTACAGGAGATTTGAACGTGTTTCAATCAGTAAGGAAGAGTGAAATTCAGGGAACAAAGAAGAAAGAGGATAAAACATGTAAATTAGGCATCTACCATTATTAATACACGCTGACAGTGATACAATGACCATAAATGTGACACACAATGCAGCCAGTTTCTGTCAACTATTTAATATATTTAGTGGTCACCAATACAATCAGGGAGAAAATGTATAATTAAAGTGAATTATTACCCTATTCAAAAAACCTCAAAAAGAATATGTTTTTTAGATGGATCAATACTGACTGCATAAAATCATTTCAATAAAAACATTATTTAAACCATTCAGCAAATACTTTTTGAACATTTACTAAGTACAGCACTCTGTGAGATCATCCCTACCCTCTTAAGTACCACATTTAGTTTAACTAAAGAATCTAGATACTAAATGACAAACTAAGGAATAAGCATGAGTACTATGAAAAGAGAACTGTGGGTAGTATGGAAACATGATATACTGACTAGGGGACCAACAGAGCTTTCTTGAGGAAGTGTCATATAAGCTAAACACATAAATTAAAAGTCAAATTCAGGGGCTGGGGTTACAGCTCAGTGGTAGAGCACTTGCCTACCATGTATGAGGAACTGGGTTCGATCCTTAGCACCACATATTAATAAATAAAGGTATTTTGTCCATCTATAAATAAAAACTTATAAAAAGAGAGAGCATGATCTCTGTCTTTAAAAAAAAAAGTCAAATTCAGAAGTAAACAGTGTAGACAACAGGATTAGAAAGTTGAGCATATATTATTTTGGAGTTTTAACACTTTACACTTACAGAAAGAATGAATATAAACACCAATTTTGTGATGAAAAATAATTATGAAGAGTACCTACCTATACGAAGGTCTCGTTGTAAAACATTCTTATCATAAACATAGAAAGACAAATACTGAAAAGTTCGTGGAATCTCAAAGTAAAATTCTTCACTGAAAAATGGACTAGAAAGAAAAGGGGAAAAAGCATATTACTTCAAATAATATCAAATGACTAAATAACTTAGTACTATCACTAACAATAGTACTATTAATACTCAAAATATATTGCCTTCAATAAAATCAATGAAAATTACATACAAATTCCACTGAAAAGTGTGGGAAGCCATTCTCGCACATATTTGAGTTACCTCCCTGGCTGGGTGAGAGGTGCTTAGACAACTGTGTCAGAGCCTTCCCCACCCTGTCCCAGGTGCGAGGGCTTGTCCGTGTGGAGGTGTGCCTGGCCACTGACACAAAGACCAATCACTGACCCTGACCTTGGAATGCTGCCCCCCTCTACCTTCATTGGATGGGATTTTCCCTTGAATTTTTTGTTCCCCAATAAAAGCTCACTCCCTGGCGTGCTCTTCCTCTCTCGCTAGCCTCTTGTGTAAACCTCGCCACCGCATTAGGTGGTTGGAGGCGGGAGCTAGGAGAAGCCGTCTCTGGAGCTGGGCATTAAAGGTAAAGAGAGTATGTCTCTTTAATTTTAAAACTCACTAGTTAATTTCTATGCTTCGAACCTCTTTTATGAAGCTCACGTGCTGGTCGCGTGGCAAAAGTGGCGCCCAACGTGGGGCATTTTAAATTGACTAGGTTGAGTTAAGGAAAGCGCTATAGAAATAAGGAATTGGTGACATTTTTGGGGTCACAGAAGTACCAGGCAGGTACTGAAGCAAAGGAGACGTTAAAATTATTAATAATGGGAAATTCGACTTCTACTGATAAGGACATGTACTTGACTATTTTAGAGACAATAATTAATCAGAAAAAGAAAGCAAATAAAAAAGACTCAGTTGCTACAATTCTTAAAGGTTGTAGGTGAATTTTGCCCTTGGTTTTGTGACCAAGATTCACCAAATTTACATACCTGGGACAGGGTGGGGAAGGCTCTGACACAGTTGTCTAAGCGCCTCTCACCTAGCCAGGAAGGTAACTCAAATCACGTGGGAGAATGGCTTCCCACAGAAAAGAACTTTAAAAACCTCAAAATAATTATCAATGCTAAGTTTCAACCAAATTCTTTACAAACCAAGTTGAACTTAGAGGACTTCAGTTGCCAGGATGAGTTCTAAACAAAGAGCTTTTCAGAAGTCCTGTGGACAAAAGATATAGTAATCATCTGGGGTCATGATAACCTAAAGTGGACTTATTATATGAGAGCTGAGAACATACACACCACCACCAGTCTTCAAGATATGTAAATATGTAAAGTTGTATTAATCACAATAATACATACCACCTAAAGCAAGTAACATTATATAAAGTCTTACTTTTATATTTTAAAAGATGAAACAGGCTATTTTAAAATCAACTTTATTGAGGTATAAATTACATACAATAACCTCCAATTTAAAGTCAAGACTAATGACTTTGGATATATTTATAAGCTTGTGTAGACTTTTCCCCTCCAATCAAAATAATCTAATCTCCCCAGAAAGCTCACTTTTGCCCCTCTGCAGTTACCCCATCACACCTACCACAAACAATCAGGGATCTGATTCCTATCACTATAGCTCTGTTCTAGAATTTCATATAAATATAACCATACAGTATGTACTCTTGTAGCCTGCTTCTGTCACTCAGTTTAATGTCTGTGAGGCTTTTTTCCATGTTGTTATATAGAGTAGTTCATTTGCTTTAACTGCTGTGAAATATTCCATTGTGTTCCACACTCCATTCTCCTAGTAATGTATGTCATTTGAGTTTTTTCCAGTTTGGGCTATTAAAAATAAAGCTGCTCTGAGCATTTTTGTACAAAACATTTTCTAGACATAAACTTTCAATTCTGCCGATAAGTAACAGAGAGTAAAATTCCTGAGTTAAAGGGCAGATTAAACAATGTAACCTGTGAGAAAACTGTCAAACTACCTTCCAAAGTAGTTGTACAATTTTACCCTCCTCACTAGCAACATATGAGCATTCCAGTTGCTATAGATCAACTGACAGTCTTTAATTTTAGCTATTTTAGTGAATGTGACATTAGAAATTTATATACCTGTGTAATCTCTATCCTAATCAATATATAAAACATTTCTCTCTCCCCAGAAATTTCTCTTGCACCCTTCTGCAATCACCTCCACCATATTGACACTGTCAACCAAAGTTCTATCACTACAGATTATGTTATATAGAATGTATAGTAACAGAAATGGTTTAAAACTGCATTTTCTTAATGAAGAATTATGTTAAATATCTTTTAACATGCTTCTTGGCCATTTGCATATCATCTTTTTTTTAATAAATATGCAAGATTTTTCATATTTTCAATGGTTGTCTTCTTAATGAATTAAGAGTTTTTGCTTTGTTTTTGTCAGGATATTTTCTCCCAGGTGTGACTTATCATTTAATTTTTTTTGACAGTCACTTTTGAATAGGCACTTCTAATTTTGATGAAGCCTAATTTCTTTTATAATTGGTGCCTTTTGCATCCTAAGAAAATTTTACCTACCGCAAAGTTGCAAGGTTTTCTCCTATTAAACAGCTAATTTTTACAAGTTCATTTTAAGAATATTATTTTGTTGGGCTGGGGTTGTAGCTTAAGAGGTAGAGCACTCGCCTAGCAAGCGTGAGGCACTGGGTTCGATCCTCAGCACTACATAAAAATAAAAAATAAAGATACTGTGTTCACCTATAACTAAAAAATTAATATATTTTTAAAAATTTTTTAAAAAATGTTATTTTGTTATATTTAAATGCCTCTATGAAGATATGAATCTCTGAAATCCTAGTAGATATCTTTTCTCATGAACACTTCTTTCTTGAGAATGTTTAAATAACAAAATGATTGGTTAAAAATATCACCATGAAATGCAATATCATTAGACTGTCATAATTAAATGAGAAGCAGAAATGCAAAGTAAAATACTACTACAGAAGTCATTCTTATATTGTCCAGAAAATGGCTGACGTGGGTCTTTAGTTGTTATGAAGTCCAGTTAAATTTTGCACTACAATTTTCACTTCAAATGTAACCAATTTTCCATATTTTTATTGGTGCATTATAGTTGTTCATAATGGTGCAATTTGTTATTATACATTCATACATACACACAAGATAACACCATAATTTGGTCAATACTCAGTCCTCAGTATCTTCCCTTTCTGCAACCAACTATTTAAAGTTGGTTTGTCAAAGTAACTACAGTCTTTTAATTAGTCTCAACATAAAAAAAAAAAAATCAATGCAAAAACAGCTAATAGGTAAAGGTGACATGTGTCCATGTTTGTCTTTGTATTATTTTAAAGAATAATAGAGAATTTCCTTTACATAGCACATATTTACACATCTAAAGTCAAATAAGAACAGAATTACTATGTTATTTGTATTGTTGTAGCATGAAAATCTCAACAACCTAGCCTCCACATTTGATTGCCCACATCTTTATATAATTCATTACTTAACTGATGCATTTGAAGAAAATTTTCCAACAAGGTTGAAGCACCAGTAATGTGCTGCTACTGTTTAAATACTACCTCTTTCTTCAAAGGATTTGAATATTGCCAACTAGCTGGGCTGGCGACCTGAGCTGGGTTCACAAGAGCTGGCTGTACCAATAACTTAAGAAAATGGCCAAAGAAGCATGCAACACACAGAAATACCTTTTGCTTGCAGGAATCAGGAAGACAGCTCTCAACCTTAAGGGTTCATTGAAAAAAGAGAGAGCACGTCTGAGAAGTCTCTATATTTATTTTTATGTGGTGCTGAAGATCAAACCCAGGCCCTCACATGTGCCAGGCAAGCACTCTACCTCTTAGCCACAACCCCAGCCCAAGAATCCTCTATTTATTGGGGAGAAAGACATTCAAGAAAGTTAAACCCAAATAAGACAAGGGATTAGGTTTCAGGAGGTTGCTTGGTGATGTCTCATAGTCTGCAGATTTGACTGACATCTCGGAAAGCCAAATCCATCTCAGGTGCTGTGTGGGATCAAAGGCAAAGCAAGTGAAAAGGACACATATGTTGCATAGCTCAGTCAGAGAAGCAATACCAGTCCAGTCCCCTCATGTGCTGAAATGCTCACAGCTCACACGCACAGCCCATGGCTAGCTTCCAACATCTGAACTACTTTTACCTTATCTCTTACTTCAGATCCTTTTGGGCTGCAAAGTATTTTTGGTTTCATATAATACCTTTTCTATGAAGAACTCAACAGATATAAATGACATAAAGGGAAACTTTAGAGGAAAAAAGGCAAGTATAAAGGGAAAAAAGATATGGAAAAAAGTATCAAACTCTTACCTATATACATAAACTATAATATCCAGAACCTATAAAAGATCTAAATAGTACCTAGTGACTTTCAGCTTAACAGTTTATCACAATATCCATAAGCACTAAGAACAATGAAATGAAAACAAGGTGAGCAAGGGTTTTTACTACAAATTCTTTTGTCCTAGTCCACAAGGAAAAATTCTAGAGGATGTCCAAAATCCCAGAAGCATCTAATCTAGTTATATCAAAATTGCCTAAGGTAAGTACTGCTAGCCTGAAATTATATTCCAAGTTGCTATGCAACTAGAAAAATGGGGATTAAAAAAAAAACCAAAAAACTAATTTCACCATTTCCCCTACACAAATATTCAGAAAAGGTTAAAATAAAAAAGCTAATTTTAGTTACTCATTTATAAGGCTACATACTAGAAACTACTACAGTATCCAATTTATGAACAGTTACAAACTATTTTCCTATAATATTACTGATCACTGTGTAATATGAAATTAGTGTACATTTAAGTAACAAATTAAAATTTAAATACCATTAGTTTTGCTTCTTTCTTTGATATATGAAAAATTACTCCGCCTATGAGTAACTCAGTTTTCATTATTTATGAATATAAAACAAATATATTTATAAATTTATATTTACAAATATAAAGAATACCAAAATTCTAACACAAGAGGGACAGCTGACTTGTAACTAAAGATTTGAAGTATATTACTGCAAATCTTTTTGGGCTACTTAGTTATTTTCAGTTCTATATATTACCTTTCCTATGAAGAACTCAGTATATATTCAAAATTATAGAAAATGAAAATAAAATGTAAAGGCAAACTTCAAAGAGAAAAAAAGGCAAGTAAAGAAAAAAAAAGGTATGAAAAAAAGTATTAAAAGACATCTCTGAAATACAATTGATCTGAAATACAATTCACATAATTTATGGCATGCAACATATCATCTACCACATGCTTATTTCAACAAGTCCCTGTACCCTTGTTTTAATCCTTATTTCTGAATAAGTCTGCATCTTTCTAGCACTGCTATGTACCAGAATCATGTCACAAATACTGCTAAGAGCAGAGGTGGCACATTCTCATTTTCACAAATCAGAATTTACTGTGATAGTCTTAAAGTGTAATTACACTTTCAAAGATGAAAAATCTACCTAAGAGTCCATTCCTTGATAATGTACTGCTAATTTAACTAACAATATATGAACTTTAAGAAGTAATTTAATTTATTCTTTAGAGAAATAAAATAATGTGCTCTGAGGAAAGTTAAAATAAATGGGCAAAATTTAACCTAGAAAACAAGACTAAAATATAACAGTTGTTTTCAAAAACTTGAAAGACCGCCAAATGAAAGACAGACTAAATTCGTTTCCCAGTAATCTAACATATAGAATTAGGTACAATTTAAAAGAAAAATATATTTGAGATAATAAGAAGCCACATGGATGAATACATAAATAAACAGAATCCAGCAAGTTACTGGCATATAGCTGGTTCTCATTGTAATAATCATTAACCAACTAAACATAAAAGCTTTCTAGGAGTCAGAATAGTTCAAAGACCAAATGAGATACTTAGGAGGCAATGAACTCCCTGGTCACTGGAACATTGCTAAGCAAATGCCATAATATCACCTATCAAAGCCATGGTCAAGAAGATGCTAAGCATAAGGTGGTTAGTCTGCTCGATGAACATTCAGGCTCTTTCAAATTCTTAGATTCTGTAACTCTAAAAGTAAATTCATAATGTAAAAAAAAAATTCAAAGTGCAAAATATAAAAGTTTCAAATGAAGACAGTCTTCTTGGTGAATATAATCTGGAAAACATACACATTGATCAATCAATATATATCTTCTAAATGATAATTTCCAATTTTTCTACCAACCTTAAAGATTTTTCAACAACTTGGGTACGATAAACTTCTTCCTGGTCCAAATTTATAGTACAAAAGCAATCTCTCATCTTGTTGGGTCCAAGATATGGCAATAAATTTTTTGCTTCACCTGTTGGTACAAAAATTAAAATTGGTATTACACATCACCAGCTGCTTCACAGTAAGACTTATATACAACAAATTCAATCTGACAGAATAGGTTGTATGTAAAACAGGAAAACAGAACTAGTGATTAGAGAAAGATCAACTTGTTCTAATAGAGACTGCTAAGACCAAAGGGAGAGGCTCTGTGTTAAGGGACATGTGAGATCATATTACATCACTGCATCTCTGTCCCTATAAAAAGGCAATTCCCCTACTTGTGTTCTCCATCCTATCCCACTGTATTACCACCTCAAGGAATTTAATCAATATTAATTTCTCTTCTACCATATTGCTCCCACCCGCATATATACGTTTGGGAGTTTCCCAATTTAAAAAAAGCGAACAAAAAGAAAAAAAAAAATCTTCTATCACTCCACTTCATCCATCTTAATTATCACTCCATTTCCAATCTCCATTCTCAAAACTTGTCAAAAGCATCACCTCTAGTCAGTATCTCCTCCACTTTCTTACTTCTCACTCATTCTTTGACCTTCTCCAATCAACTCTGGATTTCACTATGACAGTGAAACTTCATTAGCCAAGGGTACCAAAACCTTCCAAATTGCTAAATACGAAGATCATTTCCCTGTCCTTATCATACCCAACCTTAAACACAAGTGAACATTCCTTTTAAAATGCTATCTTCTTCTGGGCTGAAGTTGTAGCTCAGTGGTAGAACACATGCCTAGTAAATGCGAGGGACTGAGTTCGAACCTCAGCAGGTATTGTGTCCATCTTTAAAAAAAAAAAAAATGTTCTCTTCTGTTGGCTTCTAGGATACAATATTCTAACTTCCCGTCCCCTGCTGGCCTCTGCTCACACCTTTTCACCTCTAAATGTTGCAACTGCCTCAGGGCTCAGTTCTGGACCCCCTTCCCTTCCTTCTCTATTCAAACTCTTTAAGTATAAGGTGTTAGTTAATTCTGATATCTCCCAGTTCTGCCTGACCTCCCCGCTTCAAACACTTAGTGTGAATATTCAATTGTCTCCCTGGATATCCAGTACTATTTCAAATTTAACCAGTTTCAACAAAACTGATTACCTCCCCTACAACATGTTCTTCCCCTAATCTATCACCATCTCTCCTTCTTACTCACCATCCTCTCACTACCCTCTCTACCATCATACCTAGCTAGTCTATTAGCAAATCTAGCCAACCTTCAAAATAAATCCTAAATTCAAGTCACTATGATCTTTCATTTGGACAATACCAGTTTCCTAACTAGTGTTTCTTTCTCTACTATAATAACCCTTCCTACAAAGCATTCTTCACCAAGCAGTTGGATTTTTTTTAGGGGGTGGGTGGGAGTGGGGGTACTGGGGATTGAACCCAGGGTCACTTAAGCACTGAGTCACATCCCAAGCCCTTTTTAATATTTTATTTAAAGACAGAGCCTCACTAAGTTGCTTAGGGCTTCTCTGAGTTGCTGAGGCTGGCTTTGAACTTGCAATAATCCTGCCTTAGCCTCCTGAGCCACTGGGATTACAAGTATGTGCCACCTCATCCAGCTTGTGATCTTTTAAACACATGATTCAAGTCAGTTGTTCCCCTGCTCCAACAGCACACCATTTCACTTAGAATAAAATCCCATTTTTATACCACAGTCTTCATGGTCCTAAAACTGTCTTCTCTGATCTCCTCTGCTCTAAAAGTAAGGTATGTATTACAGCTCTGAGCAGCAAATGAATATGTTAAGAGTATACATTCCATCCAGGTACATAAGAAAACAAAAGTGAAGAACTTCCAAAGATTGTAGTAGTTCACATCTGATATTTGTACAGGGTTTCACTAGCTCTAGCCAATTCTGGTATATAAGCAAGTGCACTAGACAAAAAAGAAAAACCCAAAAACTATTATCCCTGAAAATCCAAGCTTTTTAAAAACGCATTCTGTTTCAAATCTTTACTTTCTACTCCTAGCTTAAACCTGCAATTTACCTTCTGCTCCCATTCCTTTTCTAGAACCTTCATGAACACTAATATTAGGTGCTACCAAGTCAAATAATTGTTTTTCAGTTCCCACTTTATTTGACCACTCTTTAATATTTGATAATATTTACCTTTCCTTAGTTTAGGTGACTCATTCTTTCTTCTACTCCCTCTTTTAGGTTTTTTACTCATTGAGCACATCTTAAATATGGGGAAACTTTTGGCATAGAATATTTATCACAGAGGTGGAGGGCCAATTTTTTAAAATGTAGTATTATAAAACAAAAATATACTAAATAACAATGATTCCTCAACATTCTTTGGTGGTATTATTTGCAATATGTTCTCAACTTATCTATATCCTTAACCTAACCTTAAGGAAAATCAGGTTCTATACCTGTTGTAGATAAACAGGATTGGTGTTCAACAGCCATTTCAATCTCCTTTGGTATATGCTTTACTATACAACTGAGAACGGAAAGCTAAAAACTACATCTCCCAGTCTCTATTGCAGCTACAATTGAGGATGTGATTTAAGTTGCACCAACTATATTCACTTGCGGGGGAGGACAGAAAAGAAAGGTGGTGGAGCTTAGGCTGCTTCTACTAGAAAGCACTGTCATGGAGATGTCCATGTTCTGCAACAGCATTTGTAGAAGTCCTGGGAATTCAGTCACAAGTTTCATGTGTATTAAGAAGGAAGACACAAGGCATCCATTCTGTAATACAGGTTGTGACCGGTATGGATTGGCTCTTGAGCCAGCAGCAGTGACAACAACTTACTGATGAAGGTGGCTGCTTGCCAACAGCTGTTTCCTAATACTAGTGTATTCCTAATCATGTAGCTTCCCAATTGTGCAGGAGTCTTTCTGATCCTAAAAGAGGTAGTAAATTTCTTGATGCCTCAGCTGCAATATGGCCTTTTACTGTCATTCCTAAAAGTTCCACCTAGAGTCTAGTTGCTTTTTGTCTTGTTTTTGTGTTCTTTTCAAACAATTCTAGGTCTGGGGTTATGACTCAGTGGTAGAGCGCTTGCCTAGCATGCATGAGGCACTGGGTTCAATTCTCAGCACCACATAAAAATAAGTAAATAAAATAAAGGTCCATCAACAACTCATAAGAACATTTTTTTTTAAATTCTATAAGCCACTTAAACTCCTCCTCCCACTCCCCAGAACTGGAGGCTAAACCCAGGGAACTTGTGCATGCTAGACAAGCACTCTACCACTAAGCTACACCTCAGCCCATTTTATTTTATTTTATTTTTTCAGAAGACTCTCACAGGCCTCAAAATAACAATCCTGCCTCAGCCCCCTGAGTAGCTGGGATTATAGGTTCATATATCTTACTCAAACTCTTTCTGTTTGAATTGATTAGAGTAGGTTTCTTATTAGAAACCCTTTACTGCTGGGGCTGGGGCTCAGTGGTAGAGTGCTAGCCTGGCACACGTGAGGCACTGGGTTCTATCCTCAGCACCACATAAAAATAAAAATAAAGGCAAAACAAAAAAAAAAAACAACTTTGTTTCTATCTAAGGAGAAAACTCCACCTTACTTTACTAGTCATCAGAATTTAGTATATCTATCAGCTAGATGTGGCTATCTAAATCAAACATCGACTCAGAAATTATGAAGCAATTTCTCAGTGAAAACTATTTTTTATTATTCTATCAGATAATGAGTTGAAAGCACAGCACACTCAAAACATTAGTGCTTCAACTTAGTAAGTGGAGACAAATGGATCTTAATTCTATGTATGGTTGCATCTGCCTTTGGAAATATTTCATCATCATCTGCTAAAGCATTTGGTTGTGGTTTTAAAAATATGCTCAATAACATAGAATCATGTTGCTGTGAATTGGGACTGCCAAATTCAAAACATTCACATCATGTGCAAATTTTGAGTGCCTCTAAGTTATCCTTAAACTTACAAATCATATCTTGACCCCATAGTAGTAAGATTTAAGTAATTAAGACATTTGATGTATAGTTAAGATATGATACTCAAGTAAGCCAGTTGAAAAATGGAGTTTTTACTTGCATTTGAATGAAAGAAATTTTTTATAGTTCATTCTTTATTTTAAAAAATTATGCATGCTTAAGTACTATAATTTGCAAAGGCAGATATATTGGCCCTGCAGAAAAAAAGTGTAGATTTGTTTGTTCTTATAACAGTCAGTATTTCCTTCAAAAATGAATCTAAAGAGGAGGAGACCAATCATTGATAACCAACTGTTCACCTCTGAAGAAAGGAGACCAGTACTCAAGCATAACTTCTTTTATTCTATAACACTTTTTCTTGTTGAATTCATAACCAGTACTTAAGCACTTTTCTAGTTTACATAATGACTTGAAGCATTATTAATAACTAAATTCTTTAGTTTCCTTTCCAAAAGCATAGGTTTTCAAACATGAACAGAATAATCCTCTATCAGGAGGATTCACAAATGTACTACAAGTATGCCAAGAATATTTTCCTATTATATATCAATAGTATGATTCAACAATAAAATGAAATGTCCTTTACCCACAAGATAGTAATTGTTTTTACTCATCACACATATCTGAGCTGAAATGCTGTGTTTAGTTTTGATCCTCATCCTCACAGTGTTACCAGAGTTACTATCTAATATGTAAACACCCCTACACACATACGTGTGTGTGTGTGTGTGTGTGTGTGTGCTGTGCATGCATATATCATTCCTTGCTCAAAAGTCTTCAATGGTCTTCAAAGTCTTCTATACTACCTACCACTACCCACATTGTAGGATAAAAATCTTAAAAGTCCATAGTCTGACAAATCCTTTATGATCAAGTGTCCTCCACTACATGTTTAGCTTCATCTGTTTAATCTTTACCCTAAGTTATATTCTAGTAATATTATAATTTTGATTCCTTAAACATAATTGTGTTTCTTCATGCCTCTGTTCAGATATGATGCTATTTTCTTTATAGTATGCTCTCATCTGATTTTTTTTTTTTTTAAGATGGGGTTTTGCTTTGTTGCCCAGGCTGGTCTCAAACTCCTGGAATCAAG